TGATACCATTGATGATGTATCAGGCATGAAGTTACATCTTACTTGTCAGAATATAATGATTACATCAGTGATATTCATTCAGAAAAAAGTACCATCTCATTTCAGACGTTACGCCTAGCAGAAGTGCAATTAAAACAAGATATATTTAACAATAATATATCAATGCTGGTCAGTGGTTACGCAGGAAGGTATCTAATGACTGAAATACTTTATATACTGCCGTGAACGAAATGTAACGAACTGTGAATAATATACCATTCAAATGATTAAGAGCATTTGCTAGGTCAAATATTGCAGACTATTTCAGTCATACTGAAATTCTCACATAATCTGACCAATAACAAGCAAAACACAACTATAGTTTCATCTCGGAAACACTTAGCTGTCCGACCATGGATAGAGATGCAAAATCTGTCAGTTTGGCAGAATAATTTCAGCTGTAGTTGTCAGAATGAGTCGCTTTGGTTATATGTTTTGTTCATACATTATCAATGCTTATTATGCTTCGTGAATAGTCGAGCAAAATATCACTCTGTTCTGAATATCTTCTCATAATTTTGTCTTTCATTTTTCACGAGATTATGTCGCCGAGCAACACCACGCGTTCGTCCGGACGAGTGATATTGCTGCACGACAACACAATGGGCGTGTACAACTTAGTAGAACTTTTAACTCAAACCATGTTTATAATGATCCTTTTATACATGAATAATGATTGATGACATAATTCGATCGAAAAATTAACTGCGATGGAATGTTTAATTTTTGAACACAAATAATAGTACCTTCTGAACACGGACCCTCTTATGACGTAAACCTCATCTCGCCATAGTTAAAAGAAAATACCGAACGCCTGACGGATACTGAGGCAACTGATATATTAATTCTTTCAACTGTGATCTCGCGCTAATTCACTGCATGTGTCAGAAATCATGTATCATTCATTTCTGTCTGGAATAGTCTTGTTTCAGTATTAGGGTTTTGACGTCACACCATCGCCTCGTTTTCAGTGGTCCGAAAAATCGGGGATTTCAATAATTTTTTATAAAACGTAGGGAGCTCACAGCAAGAAACGGTTTGCGATGGTGAGCTAGTTTGGGTGAGTTCTATCGAATTAGGAAATGAAATTTTTTTGTGATACAAGCCCATTTATATCAATTCATGAAACTTACTGAACTTACTGGAAATTCTCGAAATCAATGCGTCGTTGGACGATGACAATGTTAAGTATCCCAATGGACAAACTCACTTTGAATGCCAACAATTTCTCAACTCTTCAAAGTTTATTTAATTGCCCCTTCCTTGTTCGACGACTCTAATATTGGTAATGTGAATCATAGAGGATAACTGCCACTGGTTTAGTTTTATGCAGCTTCCGGTTTTGTTATCTTGTTCAACTCTGTCATTGTGTTCTGTGTCATTACTGACATTTGACCTCTGACAGCTGAAAGTTTGACATGGTCAGACATCTCGTGCCATGAGCTGTGGAGCGTGGAACGGATTCTACCATTCAAACTTTGACGTGTCTCTTCTTGCACAAGATGGCGTTCTGGAAGCAGCAAAAGTTTTTCGTCCTACTTAACAATAGTTTGTTGATTGTTAGGCCGCATCGTCCTCCATTATTCGACTTTCCATGATTTGCAGTTTAAGACCCCTTGACAACCCCTTTTTCATCAATAATTAAAAAAACATAACTTTTCCATTTCCATGTGAGTACCATCTTTTTAGAAGGAGGTTTTTCATCTGTGATTTATCTCGTTATATTGAAGGATTTCATAGCAAAGGCTGAAGATGGACATTGCAAGAGTCCGAAACATGTTTCAAATTTGATCTTTTCAAATCAAAAAGTCGTGGAGATGACTTTGTGCTCTTCTCATTGAATATGAATCCTATTACTCCACTTTGACCTACAATGGACTTCTACCAACGTTTGAATATGTATATACATTTTCGGTAAATAAGTGTATATCTGAGGAAACTTCTACTTTTTTATCACTCTTCACATAATATGCATCTGAATTGTTAATTGAAAGGATTTCTGATTGCCTTGACATCAGCAAAACCTACATAATTCTCATGTTGTCCAAGTCAGAGACCTAATATTTTATGTCGGATTTATATAAGGAAATGAATAAAATTTACATTTAAATGCGAAACAAACATTGAGGCAAACCTGGAAAATACCATTTCCCAACGTGATATTTATTACCATCGCTTATCGAAGGAAAACCACTTTAGTATACAAACTTATACACACAGGATAACTGAAAAGCATATGATTGAAAACACTTTGGATGGAAATCAGAATTACAAATTGCTTCGCATTGCCATTGCCAAAAATCACATCAAACTCAGCACCGATTGTTGAATGTGTTATAAAATAATATATCGGATGTCCCTATATATACTCGAATGAGGGAGTTTGGATGCAGTTTGGTATGACCCTGTATACATTCGATTTAATCAATAGCGTTGTCCGAATTATCATCATTAAATATACTGGGTAACAAAATTTCAAATCATTCTATGCAGCTGTTGAATTTCTTCAGGGGGTGGACAATTTAGCTAGGACACGGTGTACATTTCTATAGTTTTCAGTGAACTTCGACAAGAAAAGTATAGTTAGTAGTTGAAGCAGTTTTTCAATTCATTCAATCATTTCTGTCTCTTTCTATATTCCCGATATTTCTATTTTAACTTCGACAAGAGGAGTATAGTTTCTTTATTTTCTCTTTTCTGAAAATAGGTATTCTATACATAGTAACAAATTTTTGGGTGTGATTCCAATCGAATGAATTCGAGAGACAACTTTGACCGAATCAACACTTGACTATCAATGTTACATCAGTAATATTAGAGATTTGATAATATCGTGTACAGTGATGTCAACTCACACCTTCATATAGTGGAAGACTACACAAATGTGGTAATTCGAACGTTTTCTGGAATATCCATTCAAAATAAACACCAAATGGATAAACATTAAGACTTATTATATGAAATTTGATTGATAGGTGACAATAAGGACGGATGGTTTCGTGAAACTAATGCATCGAATGAATTTTAAGTTGATTGATACAGTATAATACAGTATATTAAAACAGAGATTGTGACAGAAAATAGTGTGTAAATATCTTGATAGATGGCGACACTAGCGCTCCTTCGACATTCGGCTCTCGACAGCTTTTAAATAGTAGCAACTCATGAATGTTTTGTAATATCTCACAATAGTGGATCATTTCATACACTGAATACACGGCTGAAATTTTTGAGTTCAGTTTAACTCCAGTTTCACACAACATTGTATCAATCCAGGTCCATAGAGGACTGGGTAGCAATTTTTTGGTTACGTTTTGAATTATACTAACATAAAATGTCTCAGAAGTATGAATATTTTTCGAGAAATCATTCGCACAATTTTGATTGAAATTTAACAAAGTTTGAGTCCTTCATGAAACAAATTGTGCATTTCCATTTCGACGAAAATTATCACTCAAAATGATGTTTTTACCGAGTACTAATGTTAGTAGATATATCAGTGTCCTGTTATTCAACACCCAGATGCATATGAGTTAGCTCTGCTCCTCAGCGTGGTATAACACACAATAAGTGTGTTTTTACACCACAAAAATATTCGAAAAATTCTCGCATATCGTATAATCAGAAGAAGCCAAAATGCAACAGACACGATTCGCCATGATTGCATAGTACACCACTTTGGTGTTGAACAACACAAACGGATCGAATCAGCGCACTATAGGTAGTCTGGTCAATGGTGTTAGCTGGTGTTATTTTGTTTATTTTCTCACTGTGTGGTTCCCTTTTCGATAATAATAGATTGTTTTATTAGGATCAAAAGTGACACTTTGTTTGACAAGCGAATTTTGCATTTGCGAGGCGGAGCGTTTATATAGAGAAACCGAGCGAAAGCAGAATTTGCGAGTCAAACAAAGTCACTTTTGATCCGAATGACACATGCTATTTTTTCTGCAACCGAAACAATTGACACAATGAATATGTGAAGTAACCACTAATGCCGTGCCATATGTATCAAATCAAAATCAATGCAAAATCCGTGTGATGAGAATATTCGACCTGCATTAACAGCAGAGTTATTCAATTTTCAAGGATGTTCGAATTCTAGTTTCAACATAAATACAACCACAGAGTGACATATTTGTGTATGGACCAGTTGCTCTAATGGAAAATACCGCGCCAGTGCCAGTTATAGGAACAAGACGTGGAAAATGTTAGGTTATTGAGCATATCAACAATAATAATAGCGATTGTTTATTCCCCTCCATACTACACTGTGTTTGACTCGATAATGAAATAGAGTTGAACAATATCGTTGTTTGAGACCAAAAACTATTGCTTGCCGTGATTATCCATCCCGAGAATAACGATTGAAATACAGATCAAGTAAGTATGTGAATCTTGAAGGCTTCCCTGATCAAAATAAAAATACTTAACTGAGATGTTTATTATAGTTTCTATACTTAACTATGATAAGGTTCATTTATATCTCCAGCATGGGTATGAAATGGCAAATCTGATGCGAAATCGGAAACAAATCAGATATGCGTCCAAACCCATATAACCAACTGTTCATTCTTGATTACGTCTAGTACATTCTTTTTAGTTCCTAGGAGCAAAAGTTCAACTTCAGCTTCTATGAACTAAATATGTTGCCTAGCAACATACCTATTTTTGTGTCAGTAATAGAAACGTGAATTCAAGAGCTAATTTTGGTATCAAAATGGACGACTTCTGTGTGGGTTGCAGAAAAATGAAATTTTGAATTCTTTGACAGTAAAACTCTACTTAGATTTATTTTTCACCTCCATTCAGCCATCTTGGGAAAAGGAATTGCAGCTCCATTGTAAACACACGCTCGAAAAGGCAGAAGCATGTGAATAAAATTAAACGATGTGCAGTAAATTCGTACTAAACTCAACAACTACTAAACGCGATACTAAGTGGTTCTCTAACGAGCTTACCCTTCACATTTATGTAAGTCGGGTTCGATACTATATACTCTTTACGAGTTCCTTTATTGGATTCGGCATGAAGAATGTGTTCATTACTGCTGCAGATATTCCCAAGCATTGGTGGCTTCTATCGTCAGAAGTTGGCGTAAATATCCGTCACGTCAATTACTTACTTTATCGTGTCGTGTATAAGGTATAAGGTTCTTACACTGAGAAAAATAATCTATGGTAGAAGTCCATGGTATCTCAAAATGGTGTGAATAAATTCATACGCAAGACACACTGAGTGATCTCAACAAATTCGTTATCAGAATTATCAGTACTGATGACGATGATATATTGTGGGGATCAAAATGAGCCATTTCTTTAATAAACATATATATGTCCTAAAATTCACCCCCTCCAAGCTACGAACTATTGTTCCAAAATATCTCCTAATGAATTCACAGTTGCAATTGTGAGATAGGAGGTGTATTGAAAGAAGTCTTCTTTGCCTAATTCACAGTTGCAACTGTAAATTAGTGCAAACTTACAGTTGCAACTGTAAATTAGGCGATATTTGAAAAATAGTTTCTTCTGCCTAATTTATAGTTGCAACTGTGAATCAGTGCTGATTTACAGAGGCAACTGTAGATTAGGCAAATGTTCGTGAAAAAAAACTGATTCACGATGGCAGTTCAGACGCGTCGTACAGTTGCAACTGTGAATTAGGCAAAAGAAACTTTTTTTTTCCGAAATTTCTCCTAATTCACAGTTGCAACTGTAAATTAGGAGGTGTTTCGAGAAAAAAGTTTTCTCTGCCTAATTTACAGTTGCAATTGAAAATTAGGCGATATTTAAAACCAGCTTCTTCTGCCTAATTTATTGTTGCAACTTCGAATCGTTACTTATTTACAAATGCAACTGTGAATTAGGTAAATTTTTGTGAAAAAAAAAGTTATTTTGGATGGCAGTTCAGTCGCGTCGTACAGTTGCAACTGTTAATTAGACAGAAGAAACTTTTTTTAAAATATCTCCTAATTCACAGTTGCAACTGTAAATTTGGAGGTGTATTGAAAAAACAATTTCCTCTGCCTAATTTTCAGTTGCTACTGTAAATTAGGCAAATGTTCCTGAAAAAAATTTTTTTTTTCAGGTTGGCACTTCAGACGTGTCGTATGTTCCATACCAGGTCCTTATATTAGAATGTGATTTCCTTTTCACAGCACGGAGGAAATAAGCAAAATGAATCTTTCCTTCCATTTACTCTATGAGGCTGACACCATGCAAAAATCCTGATGAAATCACCCGAACAGAGATGCGATTCTCTTTATCGCCACCTTTGCCAATAAGAGAGCATCAGAATGAGCCGACTTGCATACCTAACATGTGAATAAAACACACTTAAACTCCTGAAAGGGGCGTGATAATACATTTCCATTTCAGCACGGCAATTTTTTCCACACCCTCTCTTTCTTATATACCTACCTCTCTTCAAGATGAGTGGCTCGCTCATAAGGAAAAGAAAACGTTTCGTTTCCAGTCAGTGACGTAGAGGCAAAAATTGAAAATAGTATATTATTCAACAAGCTCAAAATGAAATCTATTATTCACGAAGGTTAAGCTTATGTCAAGAGCGTAGAGAGAATTAGATCCAAACCTGAATATAAGAGGATATACCATAGATAGTACAAATACATTTTAGTGAACAAGTTGACACAAATGTTCCATATTATGTACCAAAATAATGAAAGTTACATGTGAGTGATGCTACAAAAAGAAAAAAGGGAGCATGGTATGAAACGAATGAAAAAGAAAAACAAATTTTTGATATAAAGTAAGTCCTAACCCCGAAATTTAGAGAATATACATTCCATAGCTACACACTGATTTATGTTAATGACCAAGTTGACACAAATGTTCCATATTATATGTCAAAAAAAAAACATTACATGGAAGTGTTGCTACAATACGAAGCATGGGATAAAAAAACTATACAGCAAATATAAAATAATACAGACCACAATACAGGGAGAGTTTATACAGACTATTCGTTTATAATGAAAGATCTCAGTTTCAAAATATTGCAGATATGTGAAGACTTGAAGAGATTGATTTTGCTGCAGAGAGAGTAATATTATTGAGCATGTCGATCAATTGATTCACATTTTCCAAGAAAGGAGTATTTCGAGGTCGCATTGAAGTATAAATAGGACAGTCAAATGAGAGGTGATTAATAGTTTCAAGTCAAGCTCATATTTGTTACATACTGAACATATTCTTTTGGGTTTTAACTATTACTCGAGCTTACGGCCGTTTTACTGCCATCCTAGAAATTGCTTATAGAAGTTATCACTTGAAAAATCAGGCGCGATATTATGATAAACTAATGTTTCATATAACACTGGCAGTTTTGAGAATCCCCGTTTCACAGTGCTGAATATAAAAAAATACTAAAGAATAATAAAAATGCTTAATGAAATAGCTGACAATCTGGACTGAGCATACACATTCTTCACTGAGGGAAAAAATTTGTAGCCGTTACTAAAAAATTAGTAACAACAGAAAATTTTTTTAGTACGATAGGGGAAAGCAAGCATTAGTTGTTGCCATAACTAATTCTGTTTTTCTGGAAACGCCTATTTGCCTTCAATGAAAAGTTCAGTTGAGTCATCTACGACGTTGTTGTGGTAACTAATAAGCATTTTTAAGGAATAATACCAAGTTTCATTTGCCACAATAAGATACATAGTTATGACAATTAGATTGTTAGTACTGTTTCAATATATGTTTGTTATCACAACAAATTATCCCAGTTGGGGCAATTACTCATTTCTTCTGACGTTAATAGTGAGTGTGTTGTTGCAAATTAAATATTTAATTGTGACTGAAGTGGAATCTAGTTACTATTGAAAGTGATTTAGTAACGTTTGAAATATAATTTAGTTAATCTGGCAACTTAATAGTTTTATATCAATTAAAATCAAGACCCCATTCTAATAATAACAGTTTGTATGCCATTTTTCTTCCAATTTCTAATGGAATCGTGAACAGGAATACACCACACACCGTAAGTGCCACAGGCCACAGCTCAGCAGAAAGAGAGGGAATTATAAATATACACCCTGTACTGAATTGTGAATAGGTACCTAAACCTGATAACTAGTGACGCACAAATAACGATGGTAAACTGCGAATTATTATTTTGCTAACCAAATCCCAATGCCCAATGGCTCAGCGCGAAGTGCAAAAAAACACAAAACAGTGATTTGAAAACACACAGAGCAGTGAACCAGCAAGAACACGACGCTCCCGGCTACACTAGACAATTATTTTATTTATTTTGTCTAAGCTCGACGACCGTGCGATCTATCCACTATTAAGATCAAATGATGAAACAGAAAGACAAACAGATGCAAGATGCAATTTTTGCCGGTGGGTCCCGAAGAGACGCGAGGCGGTCCCGAACGACGCAGTACAACTAAAATTATTAGTTATGGCTAAACAATTTCTCCTATGAATAATAATAAACCTTTTACGATAAATGTGTCATCAGTTGTGGCAAATAGTCAGCTGTTGTTAGTAACCCCAGAATGAGGTTTTTTAACCCCAATATGAAATTTTAATTGACTGAATAGACAACATTGTGATAATTCTGTCACAAATAGTATTTTTATTGATGACAAATAATGGGCGAAAAATAGAAAAGTCATTTGTAGGAAATAAGGATACGTTGTCATTGTTAATAAAATTCCAAATATTTTTAATTATCGGTACTAAAAAAATACCAACTAGACGTTTTAATTAACCAGTTTTTCTCAGTGTACGTCTATGTCTACGACGCTTCCGCCAAAAAGCACAAAATAAAATCGCCAGAATATTGGATTGGCGAAATTTAAATATAAAGTGGAATTCGCAATAAAATGGCGGAGTTGCCAATTCAAATGGGAGGTAATCTAATGCATTTTCTGGGGCTTACGACCCGTATCATCCAATAAAGTTTATGGAGCGCCGTGTTAAGTTCTTCAGTTCGCGCTTTTTTATTCGCCCTTCTATATTTTATGAGAAGTAATATTCGTTTAAACTTGGATGGCGTGAGGAGGAGACTGGATAATTTACTTCATATATTCTTGAAAAGTAATCCAACTATGAAAAATCCCATTCATGGAATGAGAATATTGAGATTATTGCTGCGAAGGGACTTTGAAATAGTGGGAGAAGCAAGAGAATGTTGGGAGAATAATACACAAGATTCTTACTATGCCAAATCTCGCAATACCCAATTCTCTCCATGCCTAAGCCTTACCGTGCTCACTTTCCGCAGATTCTCATAATGCCCATTCTTCATGAATTGTCACCATACCCAATTCTTTTAAGAATCAATGAGAGGTGGGAATGGTGATAGCATCCAAGAAGGGTAGGCGTGGTTATAAATGTGAGAATTAGGCATCGTGAGAATTGGGCATCGCCTATACCTAACAGGAAATGTGATTCTGAATTTAATATACCATTATTGAATTGTTCATTCATTGCATATTACACAATTTTCAACACTTGATGACTGCAAAGAATATAATGTAAATGCCTCAATTTCTGGTGCCTGTACTCTGGCACATGTCAGACATAAGCTTCTAGTACCTGTTTCGGATAACTCGAACGCCAGTTCTTCATAAAGGTGATTAACTTCACCTACTCCTACAAACTGAGTTTGTGAGGAGGGGTAGTAACAGTGAAGAAATGCAATTGAGTTGCCTACAAATAACCAGGGGTCAAGGATATCAATTAGACCTGGATCAGTCGTTAATAGGAAACCCTGAATTCAGCCTGGATAGAGTTATTGTTGACTAATAACTGTTCCTCATAATAAGAGATTTTTTCATGGTGAACAATAATGACGTCAATAGTTTGTCAACTAGACATCACTATACATATAGACGTCGTTTCTCGAGAAAAGTAATCTCGTCATTATGACGGTTATTTGAATCAAGTAATATTGACGTCATGAAAATGGACCTTATTTTAACGTCTCTGACCAATATTGACCTGAAATTGACGTTGTAACGACGTCTCTTGAGACAACCTTTCAACGTTGGTAGGTATAACTCTACCACTGAAATTGTCCGAACTTGGTGAAAAAAG